CCAGGTGATTAGATGGGTAACACAAAGGTCTGAGAGGTTTCTTTGCCCTAGGGCCCAGGGCTGGAATTCCGCAAGTCATGCCTTGCCTTATCTATCTCCCAAGGCCATCTCCTTCACCGTGCAGCCAGAGAAACCCTGTAACTACTAACTCAACTTTTTATGTCTGCCCTCTTCTAATGAACAAAAGCAGTAGTTTATAACAAAGTTAAGCTTCCATCTTTAAACAGTCCTGTCACAACTAGGCTTATGGAAACAAAGTTTAGGAGCTACCTAGGGAGATAAGATTCCAGTACTAGATCGAGGGTGGAAAATCTGGCCAAACTACTCTCTCTAGATGGCATCCACATCTAAATTGTTTCCTTGTTTTTGCATATAGGTGGTGCAAAGTCTTTTGCACTAAAGAGCTAGATACATAGCTCAGCAAAAGTTTCTGGGTTTGATGCCTGGTACAAAAAAAGAAGTTTCATACCCTTATGCCCTGCCTTTTACATTACAGACACAGGCAACTCAATGCCAAAGCCCCTCACTCCTTTGGAATTGAGTCTTAAGCACTGGGAGATGTTCAACCCTTCCATGTTCAAGAGCCATTTGATATTTCTCTGCACATGTATGTCATCTACCTACCCCCTAGAGGCAAAATGCAGAGCAGAGGGAAGTATTAATTATGATGCTATTTTACTACCGGAGGTACACTGTAAAAAAGAAGTGGTCAGAACTGCTTATGCTCAGTCTTCCTTTGCGCTGAGAAATACTCCTTATTTATTTCTAAATGTAAGCGCGAGGCACAGGAAAACTCAGCACTTCGGGCCCTTAAGGCATTTACTACTCTGGAGCCTGAGATTGCTCCTCTCAAACCTTTAGAATCTGAGGACAAGACAGCCTTAATCAAAACTGCATCCACCTTTACTGAACCTGAAGTTTCCCCTACTTGCCTTTCTAGTCTTAAAGATGGGGCTTCTAGCTGTCACCCTGGCATCTGGAGGGATGCATCCATCTGTAGCTGAGTCCATGCAAGCTCCTCAAGGACAATATCCTTTACAGGAAGTACATGGACAACTTAGGACTTTAAAAGAATTCACATGCCTTTTTCTTAAGTCCCTCTTTTTAAGGGGACTTAAAACAAATTAAGTTCGACCTTGGAAAATTTTCAGAAGGCCCTGATAAGTACATTGAAGTCCTTAGAGGATGTACTCAGACCTATGAGCTAGATTGGAAGGATGTAATGTTACTCTTAAATCAAACACTGACTTCTAGGAAGAGGCAAACAGCATTACCAGTTGCTGTTGCATTTGGAGATAACATCATATTGTTAATTTTAAAAGGCCAAAAGATAGACAGCCAGGGGAAACACCAGTTCCCACTGGGGCACAAGCAGCTCCCATCCAAGACCCCTAGTAGTCTAGCAACCAGACAGGATATCAAAACTGCAGACATTTTCAAGTGTGTTTTCTTGAAGGTCTAAAAAGAACAAAAACCAAGCTTTCTAGTTGTTTTACATTGTCAGCTATTTTTCAAGAGAGAGATGAAAACTGCCCTGACTTCTTAGATTGTTTACTAGAGGCACTAATAAAACATACTTCCTTAGATCCTGATTCAATTAGGGGGGCAAATTATTCTTAAAGAAAAGTTTATTACCCAGTCAACTCCAGATACTAGAAAAATTTGCAAATGATAGCCTTTGCTCCAGATAGTTCATCTGACACTTTAGTAAAAACCGTCTTCCTTAGCATTCTATAACCTGGACTGAGAGAATAAAGACAAAGGGAGAAAACAGAGACCAGAAGCTGCTGTCTTTGTTGTGGCCTTAAAGAAGACTACACTGACCTGCTATCGCTGCCACAGGCCAGGCCACTTAAGAGGGACTGCTTTAAGAGGCCCCCAAGCCATCCCCTGACTGGAAAGGTGACCACTGGAGGTTGGACTGTCCTCTGAGGCCAAGGCCCCAGAGTTCAGACCCATGCTATCAGCTGGTCCCACGGGACTAAAGGGCCTCAGGGCACTCATCTCCTTCCTCTGGCCAGACTGTCATCTCTGCCTGTCATCTCCACAGAGGAGCCCTGAGTAATCATTCCTCTTAGCTCGGCCTAAAAGCACAGCTCCCATCCCAGAGAGATTTTGTCCTGTTTAAATGCTGTAATATAGATCAAGCTTGCCAATTTATCAGTGATGCTGAGATTGGTTTCTACAAATACAGCACATATTGTTGTTCATGTACAAAATCTTAAGATAGTTTTTCATTTGTATTTTCATTTAATATAAAATAATATATTAATCTGGTTCTCATATGTATCAAAAACATAGAGATAACTATAACTAAAGCTAGAGGGACTTTAGCCTCCATCAATAAAGGGACTTAAAAGCCAATCAGTCACAAAATTGCTTTCCCTTAAAAAGTTTTTAAACTTACCTGTCAGCTCTAATGCTCATGCTTTGATCATACAGGCCTTTGTATAAATATTTAGACTATATGTGCTTTGATTAAAATTTGTTCTTGCCTAGAAGGTGCCAAGCCCCAAGGCATCATACAAATAAAACCAATAACACATATGCTAGATTACTTTTAGATTTCTTTTACTGGGATCCATCAGATCTTGTCTGGAGAAAAAATTGAGCCCTTAATTAACTATACTCCATGGGTTTTATAGTTCGGTTTTTTTTGTACCGAGAATTGAACTCAGAACCCTGCACTTGCCAAGCAGGCACTTATGCTGCTGAGTTAAATCCCCGGTTCATTCAACAGACTTTAAAGCTGATCTTTCTTGCCTGACTAGAAAGGTAAAATTAATAAACCAGGCCATCCTCCAAAATTCGATGGCATTAGATATTCTAACAGTACAAAAAGTACTTACACAACTGAAAAAAAAAACTAAAGTGTGTACATTCCTGATCTTTCTGCTAATATCTCAAATAACTGTTCGAAATATTAGATGACAAATCAATGACATATCAGATTCTAAAATGTCCTGGACCTTCTCTTTATCCTCCTTCTGGGAAGCCCTTACTACATCCTCTTGGTGGAAATCTCTGTTGTTTGTACTCATAATAATCCTCCTGATGCTATTATTTGGCCCCTGCATACTTAATTGTTTCCTCGGCTTTGTGTCCTTCAGATTTAAAGCTGTACGCCTAGCCAAGATGAAAATGCCTGGTATCTACTGAGGGCCATTACTTAGAATCTCTGCAGAGTATCCCTGACTGCTGCTCAACAGCTACAAGCTCCTTCAGCCTGAAGAAGCCAGAATGGTCAATGCCCACTGCTCCCTCATGGCAGTTCTGGTTACTTCTTCAGAGGGAGGAACATTATGGGCAGCTGAGTTAGACAGGGCTGGACACTCAAAGGGGCCAGTGCAGAAGCCCTTGCAACCTTGGAGGAGACAGACACTTCTGCTGTGGGCCAGATCTCAAGACAAAAGGCAAAACAAATGTAATCACACCCTATGTATAAACATCAGGGATTGATATTCTAAATAGGTATGGATCATTTTGAGGAAGCCAGAAGTCACCATCCCAAACCCCTACAGAGTCACTGTTTTTTAAGAATGCCTGTTTGTGCCAGGCTTGGTGGTGCATACCACCAAGTACCTCCCAGCATTTGGGAGGCTGAGGCAGGAGGATCATTGCGAGTTTGAGACCAGCCTGGGCTACAAAGTGAGCTCAAGTCCAGCCTGAACTGCACAGCAAGACCCTGTCTCAAAAAAGACAAAAAAATAAAAAATAAAAATTCTGACGTTCAAATGAGAAAAATGTTATAGTAAGAACATTATTAACTATAATCTGTTAGGAGATTATGGTTTTTTTTTCCAGACAGGGTATGTAGTCCAAGCTGGCCTTGAACTTAACATATAGTCCAGGTTGGCCTCAAACTTGAAGTGATCCTCCTGCTTCAGCTTCATAAGTGCTGAGATTACAAACAAAATGATTTTCATAATAACAGATGAATTAGTTTTTTGTGAAATATAATTAAAAATCAGCTAAAAGGTTTATGTGATATAGGGGGATGAAACTCCCAAACTACTAGATGTTCAGTACAGGTTCATGTCCTCTAAAATCGAAGAATGAGTTTTAGGAACCAAGGAGGTTCAGAACAGAATATATTTATTGAGAGAAAGAAAGCTTCTGTTTGACAGAGAGACAGAAGAGGGTGCCAAGTGGGTTGCCAAAGACTGTCTTTTCTAGGGACTTTTATAGAGTAAAATCACCAAGTGAGGCAGGTGTCAGGTGGGGAAGACTTGGGAACTTGCAAGGCAGATGGGCTAGAGGTGGGACACAACTGTAGTCAACCAATAAGATTAACTGTTCATGTAAAGTTGACCAAATCAGGGACAAATGGGAAAGCAAGTCATGTAGCAAGCAGGCATTCTTTTCTTCAGTTTTCTGTGTTTTTTTTTTTTTTTTTTTTTTTGTCTTTTTGAGACAGGGTCTCACTATGCAGTTCAGGCCGGCCTTAAGCTTACTTTGTAGCCCAGGCTGGTCTTGAACTCGCAATGATTCTCCTGCCTCGGCCTCCTAAGCGTTGGGATTACAGGCATGAGCCACCACGCCCGGCTTGAACATCAGAATTATTAAAAGTATAAGTTTATTTAGGTTGGTTGAGCATGGTGTTCATTTTTTCATATACTTCATCGGATGTTCTGAGGCATTAGCGATTTTAGAAAAGAATTTCACACAGCATTCAGGAAGCTGAGGCAGGAAGATTGCCAGCACTTTGAGGGGACCCCGGGCAACTATTGAGACCCTCCAAAGAACAAAATACAGAATTGGAAGAGCTGATGGAACCAGGGGTCGGAGAATTTTAACTTTCTTCCCGGACCTGGCAGGACAGTTGCTCCGCACATGCATGGGTCCCAAGCTGGACCTCAGGAAGCCCTGTCCCAGCTCCTGGACCACTTGCCCTCACCGCCCTTCTCCTTGGCGCAGGCGCAGCAGGGTCCCTGACCAGCCACCACAGCGCAGCCCCTGAGGACTCTAGGAAGCTACCGTCGCGCATGCGCGGCTCTCACCTTGGCATGCGCTGGCGTAGTTGGTGCAGCAGTCCCCGACCTGCTGGCAGTCGTTGGCGCAGGAGCACAGGCTGTTCTCCAGGCGTCTCTCACCGCAGCGGAACAAGTTGCAGGTCCAGATCCGAGCTGAAAAAATTCTCCATCAGTTCTGAGCATTGGATGTATTTGCAGTGTGCAACACACAAATGCAAGTGTCACACATTTCTCCCGGTGTTATGATAAAACAGTGAGATTCCCTGCATTAATCAGTGAAAGCATATACGGAGCCAGCAGCCCCGGATTGCTCTCCTGAGCATGGATGGCAGAGAAAGGCCCTTCACAGCTGCACCGCTGGCTCTGATGGGGCTACTTTTCCCACCCAGGGGCAGCCTTGTACAGGAGCCCAGCAACAGCAGCAGGATTCCACACAGATCACCCCAGGCCAGCCTCCCTATGGGGCTTCTCTGGCTTCAGACTCTGTGACAGCAGCTTAAATAAATTCACTTGTTAAAAATGGCAAGAAAAAGCAGGGTGTGATGGTACACATCTGTGATTCCAGCACTCAGGAGGCTGAGGCAGGTGGATTGCCACAAGTTCAAGGTCAGCCTGGGCTACACGGCAAGATCCTATCTCAAAAACTAAATTGAGTTTTCAGTAGTGGCGAGAGGCTGGAGTAAATTTGCTTCCCACTGCCACCCGATAGATAGGAGCCAGTGATTAAAATCCACCCCCACCCCACAACCCCGGCAAGCAGCCCAACTCGTTGGATAGGTGAGTGGTCTTATGCTTAGAGTTCTGCCTTTTCTGTCACTTGTGACTTACAAAGAAAAAAGATTAGGGGAAATGAATGAATACAGATCGCTGGCTCTAGCAGGTCAGCTCCTCCGGCCCTTGCTGGGACCATCAAGGCCTCTGCTAGCCCATCACTGCTCCCCGACCACTAGGGGCCCTGCTCTGGAGACCTAGGCATTAAATGCTGAAAACAACCAGGCTTCCCCAAGGGACAGCAGGCTGGGCTGCTCTTCGGTGCTGGTACTGGGGCTAAGGTCACCTTTCTGCTCTCCTAATGAGTCACATGCACCCTGCTGGGCTGGGGGGCGACTCAGAGGGGACATGGGCAGGGACACCAAGTGGGAGAGCCGAGTGGACAGAGCCAGGGGGAGTTTGGGGTTGTGCCTGAGACAGGAGAGCCGCAGCAAAAGAGAGCTTCTACACACAGCTGCCCTGGAGACCACAGACCGGACTGCCGGTGGGCCAGCACCCTGACCTAAACCTGAAAATATGCTCTGGGTCCAGGACGATTTCTATTTTCCTTCCTGGCGTTTTGAGACAGGTTCTCACTATGCAGCTGAGGCTGGCCTTGAGCTCACTTTATAGCCCAGGGTGGTCTCAAACTCACAACAATCCTCCTGCCTCAGCCTCCCTGAGGGCTGGGATTATAAGCATGCCCCAGTTTCTATTGAGTTTTTTTCAGTAATCTCCACAGTAATCTTCAAAGGAATCTGATCCCCACCATCCTGATCAGAGACCCCCCCGCCACACAGCCCCCTCCCAGCCCAACTGCACCCAGGGCTCAGGACAGGTCAGCCCTGCTGTGGGCAGCAGCACTGCTCCCATGCTTCCCCAGACCTGTCCTCAGCAGCTCTAGCTCTCAAGCCTTGTTCTCTGCAGGGAGCCACAAAATCTCACTGCTCTCCCCTCCCCACGGCCCCCTAAGGTTTGCCCCCCTCCCCATCCCTTACAGGAGAGCAGCTAGTGCAGTCTCAGCTCCTCAGTGGTCCCTCTCAGGTTTCTTCTTCAGCAATAAACCAGCCCGGGTGAGCCCAGCTCACACCTCAGATTCTTCTTTTCCTTTCTCCTAACCGTTTCCACAGTGGTTGTACTAATTTACATTCCCACCTGGCACTGTAGAATTTTGTTTCATTTTGTGTTTTGAGACAGGGTCTCATCGCATAATCCAGGCTGGCCTTGAACACCTGGCAATCCTCCTGCCTCGGCCTCCCCGATCACAGACTGGCACCGCCATGCTTGGCCAAGCAATGGAAATTTATGCCCCCTGGGGTAAAGGCAGCCAAACTCACTGCCTTTGCCATTCCTGGGTGCTGGCCACCCTCTGTTGTTGGGGTGGACTCCATTTCCTGGGTCTGCCTGCTCAAGAACACATACCCGCCCCCCTGCAGTGTCCTTTAACCTCAAAACCTAAAGCCAGAGGGGCTGCTGGGAGTCCCCACTTTCTTTCGCAGGAATCCGGCCTTACTTACTCCATGCTCAGTTCTTTGTTCAGGATACAAAGAGCCTGGATATCAGGGCAACTGAGTCCAGCAGCCCCGTAACACTACCACCAACCCACCTGGAACCTGGAGAGAAGGGGCAGTTTCTATTGGCCAGCACCTAGACCTTGGATTTTGGGCCTATGGGACTGTGACAAGGAGTTTGTTTGGAGTGATTTTACTTTTCGGTTGTTTTTTTGAGACAGGGTCTCACTGGGTGGTTAAGGCTCGTGATCCTCCTGCCTCAGCCTCCTGAGTGCTGGGATCCCAAGCATGTATCCCACACCTGGCTGGATTTTTGTTTTGTAAGCTGCCCCCGTTTGTTATGGTGGCCCAGGAAACTAACTAAAGTGTGTGTGGGTGAAGCTGGACGCTAAGTCCTACTTGGTTCCACGCAGGTGTTTTCAAAGTCCCAGCAGCAGTCGCCTCGGCCTTTACAGTCCTTATCGCAGTGGCAGCCCTCCAGGCCTCGGAACTCCGCCTCGAAGCACCTCCTTCGGCAGCTGCCTGTGACACAGGGGGCAAGACGGTGGGGCAGAGGTCTCGGGGTCTCTATCCAGAGCAGTGCCTGGTCCAGGCCAGGAGGACAGGCAGGGTGGTGCAGGGGTGCTGGGAGAACTAGGGGGGGGGTGGTCAAAGGTGGGGTGGGGGAGGGGAGGGTGGGCTGCACTGGGAGCCTCAACCTGACAGGTCCTGCAATGCTTAAAGAATAAGCGAAGCAGCGGGACACGGTGGCTGGCGGATGCCTGTAATCCCAGCACTCAGAAGTCTGAGGCAGGAGGATCTTTACAAGTTAAGTCCCGCCTAAACTGCACAGCGAGATTCGGTCTCAAAAACACAATAAATAAATAAGCAAAGGAGAGCAGAGCTGAGGCAGGAAGGTCACTGCGAGTTCGAGGGCAGCTTGGGCCTGGGAGCAAGACCCTGCCTCAAAAACCAATTTTTTTTTTTTTTTTTTTTTTTTTTTTTTGCTTCCCAGCCGTCAATGCTTCAGCCCTTTGGGGACTGGGCAGAGGAACAGAGGGACAGCGAGGAGGGCTTGAGGGGCAGAGGCTCTGCTCACAGAGGAAGGCTGGGCTGGATGGAAAGGCATGGTCAAGACCCCCAAGTGCAGAAAACCACAGGAGGAAGCCGGGAGCGAGCTCGGGATCGCGCAAGCGCACGCTCTCGGCGCTGACCCCCACCCCCACCTCCCAGGATTCACAGCCACAGAAGGCAAAGGGCACTGCGGGCAGAAAGCAAGGTAGCCGATGCCAGAGCAGGAATGGAAACTTAAGTGAGGAGGAATCAGGCGGAATTATGGTCCCCCAAGAGCATGCCACACCCTCGTCCCTTGGCCGCGCGTTCATGTCTCATGTGACAGCCAGGCTGTGCAGATGAGACTTCTGGGGTGTGTGTGTGTATGTGTGTGTGTGGTTTTGGTTTTGTTTTTGGCTTTTTTTTTGGACACAGGGTCTCACTGTGTATCCCAAGCTGGCCTTGAACTCACAGCAGTCCCCCTGCCTCATCCTCTCCATTGCTGGGATGTCGGGTGTGCGCCACCTTGCATAGCTGCGTATGTGATGAAAGTTGCTAACCAGTTGACCTCACCGAGAGACAGTAGAGGGGTGGCCGCCAGAGGTTAGGGAGAGCTGGAGAGAGGAGGAGGGAAGGCTGTCCCAGGGAGCTAAGTTAGTCAAAGCCGGGCGGGGTGACACAGGAAGGTGACTGCAAGATGGCAGTGGGACGTGTTTCAAACAGAACTAGGAAGAGGGAATTCGGGTGTTTTCATCCTAAAGGAGTGATACCAGAAAAGACACATGTTTATCTTGATTTGAATATTACACAGCGCAAGGCCAGGCATGGTGGTGCATGCCTATCATCTCAGCACTCAGAAGGCTGAGACAGGAGGAATGCCTTGAGTCATGTCTCAAAAAAGAAGAAGAAAACAAAAACCAACACGTAGTGTCTGTTTTTCTGCAATGTCAGAATCCCACTCCTGTGGCCGATCTCCACATCACTGTTGAAACACAATGGCCAGATGATAAATGTTTTCCAACTAATAGTCACCCTTTCACTTCCTCTGTGTCCTGTGGTATTAACTGAATGTTAATAGCCTTGAACTCACTGTGTGGCCCAGACTGGCCTCAAATTTGCAGTGAATCTCCTGCTTCAGCCTCCCCAGTGCTGGAATTACAGGTGTGCACCTCCACACCCAGTGTGAGACAGAACAGTTCTAACTCGGTATTTATTAAAGTAAGGAGAAGGTGGTGGGGAGGCTCAGAGAGCTAGACACTGTGTCAGCAGGTATTTAGGATCACAGCCAGCTGAGACAAAAGGCTGGCGACAGTTATCAGAGCTCCTGGGATGGGCAATTGAAATCTCCAGGGGCGGCTTCTGGCAGGAGGACAGAGAGTAAAGTGCAGAAAGGAGAGTGATTAGGGAGGGGGGGGCCCTCTGCTGGGGTGTGGGGCTCAAGGTGGGGAGGGGAGGAGCTCGGAGTTTGGAAGAGAGGGGCTGCCTGTACCTTGCTCTTCCTTTTCTGATTTTCTCAGTCCAAGCCCCAAGCCCAATCCGAGTGTCACTATCACCAGTAAAGCCAGGAGAACCTGTGGGGAAGGAGGAAAAGGCATTTCCATGATTGTTTTTAATGTAATGAAAAATAACCTCATCTCGCCAGCTACGTGGGAGACCAGAGGGAGGGAGGTGAGCACCTTGCTTAACGCCAGACAGATCAGACATTTCAAAATCCCAGTTACTAGAGATCTCCCAACTGAGACACTTCATCAGCTATGAGCTTACCCAGATGGAATTAAAACCAGAGCGCCAGGTACTCGGGTGTGTGCCTCCCGCCCCTGCTACTCAGGAGGCTGCAAGCAGACCGTAAGTTCCAGGGTAACTGCACAAGACCCTGCTCAAAATTCAACATAAAATTGGCTGGGGATGTATCTCAGCCGTGTGAGGACCCAGGGTTCAACCCCAGGTATCCAGGAAGCCATTTATCTTTGCCCATTTTTCCTTTTTTTCTCATTTTATTTTTAAATTTATTTATTTATTTATTGGTTTTATTTTATTTTTGTTTGGTACTGGGGTCAAACTCACAACTGCGGCTTGCAAGGCAGGCGCTTATGCCACTGAGCTAAATCCTCGACTATTTTTTTTTTTTTTTTTTTTTTTTTTGGTACCAGGAATCAAACTCGTAACCTAGCATTTGCCAGGCAGGCATTTGTGCCACTGAGCTAAACCCCCAACTTTTTTTCTTTTTTTTTTTTTTTTTTGTCTCTTTGAGTCAGGGTCTGAATATGTATTTCAGGACAGGTTTGAACTCACTTTGTTGCTCAGGCTGATCTTGAACTCGAAACAATCCTCCTGCATCAGCCTCCTGAGTGCTAGGATTACAGGCATGTGCCACCATGCCCGGTCTCTTTCTTGAGACAAAATTTCACTATGTAGCCCAGGTTGGTCTCAAACTCAAAGTGATCTTCCTGCCTCAGCCTCCCTTGTGCTGGGATTACAGGAGTGCTCCACTATCCGGGTCGTTTTTCTTTTTTTAAGTGGGCATCACTTTGGAGATCATTTCTGTAGAGGCATCCGGCACAGAGCAGAGCTGCGAGCTGCTTGACTTCCTCAGCCCTGGGCACAGAGCCCTTGGGTCACCTCCAACGGAGGAGGACAGCGTGCAGCTTGCGTGACTCCTGTGCCTGCAGCCGCGCGCTCCCGGCTCCTCAGTGTGGACCGGCTCCCAGCACCCTCCCTGCTGCTGATTGAGGTCCGCGCTGCTGATTGAGGTCCTCACTGCGGACTTTAGGCTGGAACTCGATTCCGCCACCGCAGCACCTGCGCCTTTTCCTGAGTCCTTCCCCAACCCACGATGGCCCTGATAAGCACTGGGTGCAGGACTGGCAGATGCACCAGTGCCATAAAGAGCTTGGACAAACACAGAGGACTTCCATAAGGGTTTTATAGCACCGTCGCCAAAGTACAAAGCATAGACACCGGGCACAGCAGGGTGGACTTCGTAATCCCAGCGCCCAGGAGGCTGAGACAGGAGGCTTAGCCACAAGTTTGAGACCAGCCTGAGCTACACAGCATGACTGTCTTAAAAAAAATTTTTTTTTAATTTCCTAAAGAATTATCAGAAGACACTGATAGTTTCTTTTGCTGTAATTAGGAGGCTCGGTGCTGACTCGCACTGTCTCCTGGACTCCTCTTACTGATGCTGGAAGGAACCCGGTGGGGCAGCCATGTCTGTGATTCCAGCACTCTGGAAGGCTGAGGTAGGAGGAGGACAAGTCCAAGTCCAACCTCGGCAACTTAGAATTTAGTGAGAACCTGTCTCAAAATAAAAAGCCCCCGGGTGTATGCAGCTCAGTGCAAAGGCCTGAGCTGAGGGCACTATGGGGAAACTCAGTGGAGAATATGTTGGGTTTTGCCTGGAGATGATGGAGGGGCTGGCAGGAGGAACCCAGGAGACAGCGACAATTTAGCTAGCACTCCGGCACAGCCCCTTCAGATCTCCAGGCTTTGGGAACCTCTTATGGGTTGGGTGCAATGAGGAGAAAGATAAATTGGGCAGGAGGGTGGTGCACACAAGTAATCTCAGCACTCAGGAGGCTGAGGCAGAGGATCACTGGGAGTTGGAGGCCAGCCTAGATAGTGAGAAGGCCCTATCTAGACAACCAAAGAGAGGGAGGAAGGGAGGGTTTAGCAATTTGCATGCATTGTTCGGGCCAAGGGAGTATGGAGGGGGAGGGGTTACTCTGAGCCTGCCTTTGGCAGAGTGAAAGCAAAGCCCGGGCATTGGGTGAGGAGGAAACTGAGGCAGTGGCCCCTAGAGCTTTGATGGGGAGGAGAAAGCAATACAGTCAAGCAGAGCTCTGATTGCATCTTTTAGGATGGGGATCACACCTCCTAAAAAGATGAGGAGGGATAGGCAAAGGGTACTGACAGGCTTCGGAATTTAAGAGAAGCCAAGAGTTCCAGGAAGAATGTGTCACCCTGGCGCAGCATAAAGTGACAGAGGCTCTGCTGGCAGCAGAGCGCTCACTGGCTTGACTTGGGCTCAGACTTTACCCAGGGGCCCGGAGTCTCCACTTCGGAGCCCGGGAACAGCTGGCTTCCCGTCTCCAGGGACTGGGCTGCAGGGCGGCACTCACCACGCAGAGGACCTTGTACTTCTTCCCGCTGTCCTTCCCGGCAGGCGCCTCGGCCAAGGTCAGCTTGGAATCTGAGTCCATCGTGAGCGCTGCGAGAACCTGCTTGTCCGAAAGGCAGCGGCCTCGGCTGGCTTCCCTCTGCAGCGAGGAGGAACTGACCCAGGCGCAGGCTGCGCTGGGCTTAAACGCTGGCCGCCCTCGGGGATTGGACCAGAGGGAGAGGGGGAGGGGAGGGAAGGGGAGGATGTTATTGACCCAGGGACCTGGGACCAAGGTCCATTTCAGGACCAGGTAAGCAGGTCTTCTTATTCTCTTCACACTTGACTTGTTCTGTTTTGTTTCCTTTTGTTTTGAGACAAGGTCTCCCTCCATGGCCCATGCTGGCATCAGACACTATGGAGCCCAGGTTGGCCACAAAGTTGAGGCAATCCTCCTGCCTCAGTCTCCTGCATGCTGAGATTGTGGGCCCAGTTTTCCTTTATAGTGAATGCTGATCAAGAATGATGAGATCATTGGCCAGGAGCCTGGGGCAGGAGGATTGCTTCAAGTTCAAAGCCAGCCTGGGTTACATAGTGAGTTAAAGGCCAGCCTGAACTGCATAGCAAAACCCTGTCTCAAGAAGACAAAAATAAATAGATAGATAGATACAATCATCAAATTTCGATGTAATTTGATCATTTATATTTATCTTCCACATCCCAAACTGGCCTCAAACTTGTGGTGATCCTCCTGCCTCAGCCTCCCAAATGCTGGGATTATAGGTGTGAACCACCACGCTGGATTTATCTTCTTTAAAAATAACCCCAAAACAGCAAGTCTTATTACAAGATGGTTTATTACAAGACGTATTATTACAAGATGGTTGTACATTGATATACACTTCATGTGATGGTTGAAAGTTAACATAATAGAATGTGTTTTTGCTGTGCGGTGGTGTGTGCCTATGACACCAACCACTCAGGAAGCTGAGGCAGAAAGATCAAGTTTGAGGCCAGCCTGGATTACATAATGAGATCCTGTCTCAAAAGAAAATGAGCCTTGTTTTATCATTTTAAGAATTCTTTATTTTGGGGCTTTTTGTTTTTTGAGACAGGGTCTAGCTGCGTAATGCAGGCTGAACTTGTACTCCCGATGTAGCCTAGGTTGGCCTCAAACTCATGGCGGTCCTCCTGCATCAGCCTCCCATATCTTAAGAGTCCTTAAACTGCACTGAACCATTGTAAAGTGTTGAAGTCTGTGACAGTTGTGTCTTTCACTTTACATGTTCACAGTTTAAGACATGTTTTGATAGCTCGTGTCAAAATTAGTGGTATCCCTGAAAAACCACTTGATTGGGGTTTAGTAGGTGAACTACAGCAATGGTGCACACTGTGTGACTTACTCCCCCTGAGTCACATATTTACCAGATGCCAGAACCAGAACTAAAATGCAAACATCCTAACTTCCCGATTCAAGGTAATTTTCACGAATCCACTAAAATTTCCTATTTTCTGATGTACATAGCTGCGGAGTTCAAATACTCTACTGTGTGTTGAGTTGAGGGTTACAGGCTTATGATTATAACAGATGAATTAATGGCAGCAGGGCCGTGGTGCATGCCTATAATCCCAGCAGCTGGCAGGCTGCGGCAGGAGGATTTCTGAAGAGGCCAGCCGGGGTTACATAGCGAGACCCTGTCTTAACCAAAACCAAACCCACATGGCAACATTGATCACTTCTGTCTTCTTTGTATAAACCAGCTGTACTGCAGCGCTCACCACCTATGTGAACATGTCACAGCCCAGGCTACCTGCCCCCCCCCCAAAAAAAAAACCTCCTGATACCTCACTCTGGGACCCACACATCTTCCCTCAAAAGCATCTGTGATCTTCCGGGGATGAGTGGGTGAGAAGGATGCAGAGGGCGCGCGGAGCAAGAAACTGGGTTTTCTGTGCCCGTGTCACCAGCTGGTGACACAGGACCTTGGAATAGCGCGGTAGAGAAATGTGATCGCTCCCAACGGGCCAAAGGTCAGGCACACTTCTCCCCAAATCAAAGAAAGGATTCCTAGCATCCCAGGTGGCTAAGTTATTTAGAGATTTCTGTCGCAGGCAGGCGGTGAGGGCTGGGCCTGGGAGGTCAGCGCAGAGGACCAGCCTGGCCAGGTGCACTTGCAGGCCGGGGCTCAGGACAGGAGAGGAGCCCCGCACCCACTGACGCCCCCTAAGAGGTGAAAAGCCAATCGAGCTTGGTGATAGCTGGTTATCCAAATAAGAATATTAGTTCAGCTTTAAGTTTTCCAAAAATATAATCAAATCAACAGTAGCACTGATGCTCTCCAGTGACATCCCACCCTGTGAGGGGGACCACAACCTCTTTGCTATGCCCCCTCCAGGAAAGTCCTTGGAAAGTCCCAGATGCCCTTGCACCTGACTTATTTCCCATTGGCTCTCCATGCAGTGGCTATTACCTAAGCACCTATCCTCGCACTCCTATTGGCTCACCGTAGTTTTGTCCCGTCCCACCCCCTCGTGTGATTTCCCATTGGATCAATGCTATCTGAGCGACCATGCCTGTAATCTTATTAGTTGGCTATAGTTTTGTCTCACTTTACACCCATATCACCTTGTGGTTGTATTCTATAAACTCTTTTGAGAAGCAGGTTCCCTGGGTCACTCCCTCGGGACCCCATTTCTGTTACCCTTTGAGTCTTTCTCTCAATAGGTACTTTCTACGCTTAACCTCCCTTGTTATTAGAATGCATTCGTTGATTTTAGAGAACAGGAACTTGTAGTCTCAGACCTCTAGCAGGTCAGGAGTTATGTTTCCCTTATGTCATGTGAATTACTTGGAGGTCTTGTATCATCCCTGTATCATACACTCTTTAGCATAAGGAACAATGGAGGTTAAGGGTAGCAAATTTTAAAATGGGTGAGGGGGCACACACTGGTAATCCTAGCACTTAGGAGGCTGAGGCAGAAGGATCGCTGTAAGTTTGAGGCCAGCCTGGGTTACATAGCGAGAACTTGTCACACACACACACACACACACACACACATGCACACGCACACACATGCACACGCACACACAAGAAAGAAAGAAAGAAAGAAAGAAAGAAAGAAAGAAAGAAAGATTTTACTGAAAGAGAGACAGCTCCTGAGCAAGACAGAAGGGGACATAGAAAACAGATTGCCAACAAACCTGCTTGTCAGAGAAAGTTTTGTAGAGCAAAACCACAAGGTGGTTACAACGTGGAGCAAAACTATGATCAACCAATAAAATTACAAGTACAGCTACTAAAGTAATATCTGTCCAATAGGAAAGCCAGTACTGTCACTGGTATATGGAAAGAGCAAGGAAGAGATGAATCCGGAGGTGCTGGCCACCCACCCAAGCGCTGATATCCTTCTGGATCTTGTTGGGCCTGGTGACGCCAGTTACAGCGTACTGCTTATCTGCTGCGGAGGCCATGTAGTCCTGGTCATTCTGTCTTATCTTGCAGCCTGGCCACCAAGGGGTGCACCTCCAACTGATACAGGGGAAATGCGAGTATCAGGTCTAAGAATGAATTCTAAGGCACAATGGAGGTAAATAGTAGGAAAATCTATTGGAGAAATGGAATGGGGAATAGGAATAGCTCCTGATGTTACAGGCAGCTTAGTTAGTTGGAAATATTCTAGGCAGTCAGACAGGGCTGGGGCCTCAAAGAAGCCAAATGCTGAAAGTCACAAGTGACCTCTGAGGAGACAGGCACCTCCTGCTGTGGGCCAGATCTCAAGACAAAATTGAGGAAGTCCAGAGTTGCCATTCCAATCCCCTACAGAATGCTGTTAAGCATTCCTGCTTACTACGTGACCCATTTCCCCATTTGTGCTTGATCTAATCAATTTTACCTGAGCATTTCATCTTATTGGTTGACCACAGTTCTGTCCACCCTATGCCCACCTTGTGAGTTCCCATGTTTTCCCCACTATGGACCTGCCTATCCTCATGATTTTGCTCTACAAAAGTCCCTAGAAAAGACAGTCCCTAGTAACCCACTCAGGACCCCTTCTGTCTCTCAGAAGTTTTTTTTCTCTCAATAAATATATTCCACTCAACCTCCACTGTTCCTAAAATTCATTCTTCAGTTTTAGGGAATGTGAACTCATATGAGACATCTAGTAGGTTAGGAGTTTCATTCCCTTGTATCACTGAGCCAGGAGGGGTAGGCCTCCTGAATGGGTTACCAAGGAGCCCACTTCTCAGGAGAAGTTTTATAGAGCACAGTCACGAGGAGAGTACAATGTTGGTCAAAAGTATGATTAGCCAATTAGATTGCAAGTATAGCAGCTCAGGTAATACTGGTCTAACGGTAGCAAGGTGCAGGAGTGACATTGTCGAAATAATACTGGTCAATATCTGCAGTCTTAAACCTGTCTTTGGTTTTAGTAGTCTTAGTCTTAGTGGGTGGGAGATAATAGGCAGTCTCAAAGGGGGATACCCATAATTCCGAGCCTCTAGCCATCCCTTAGGGAACACATGTAAAACTGGCCATTGTGATTTTAATCTTCAGATGCACCTCCAGCCACAGTCCTGATGGGTTCTCATCTTCTGCACTGACTCCCTTAAGGGCCAGCCCTGTCTGACTGTTTGGAATATTTCTACCTAAATTTAGCTGTCTATAATACCAGCACCATGACCCAGCGATAGGCTTAAAACCCCACTTCTCCTGGGTTCAGCCTGTGGCCAGACAGAAGATACAGAAGATACAGACACCTCAGCAAGAGACCCAGGTCCCATTTTACCCCCACAGGCAAAAGTGGAAGAGGTCCAGGTACAGGAGGGAGGAAGCGGGTCTGAAAGTGTCTGCTGTGCCATTGTATCCCCAGCCACCACTGTTTCTTGTCAAAAATGAGTTAAGGAACCAACTGTGGCAGCATATGCTTATCAATGCAGTGCTCAGGAGGCTGAGGCAGGAGGATCACAAGGAGTTCAAGGACAGCCCAGGCTACACAGTGAGTTCAAGGCCAGCATGAACTGTGTAGTGAGACCCTGACTCAGAAGAGCAGCAATGAATTTCTAATAGAAACATGTATTAACAGAAATAAAAATTTAGAACAGTATTTCTAAAAATCATGTCTAAAGCTTTTTCCTGTTTTGTTTTATTGTTTGAGATAGGGTCTCCTTATCCAGCTTGGGTTGGCTTCA